CCGTAGTATTGGATAGGCCCGCGACGCTGGTCGAGTAAGATGGCAAATAAGTCGTAGGCAGAAAGTACCCAAAACCCTGAATAATATTCCCCAGTTGTAACATCCAGAAAGTGACAAGCTTTAAAAATGTTAAGTCCAGACGTCGAGCCGAGATCGATGGCGAGGGTGGGATACGCGGTTTGACGAATGGCAGAGCTGCCAGCGTAGAGAGTAGCTGGGAAGAGTCAGTTCGGCTGCCCCAAATAGCACTGATAGAATGCGGGCTATGCTATCCAGTGAGCCAAAGGCATTAAGACTTTCTTGGTCTCCTGGAGTGAGGTGTATATAGCGTTGCTTTATTGCTGGTGTATTGGGCTTTTCACAAGCGCGTAATCATGGTTGGACAACCATGGCAGATATCTCCGGTACGGGATAATCATGGGCAAAGGTACGCCAGCATTAGGAAAATCACGTAAAGAAGAGGACTTAAGGGTACTGGCAAACTAAGAATAGAGGCATTGCGAGCATATGTGTTTCGGCGATTATCTTTCGATTAAATAGATTGAGCGTGGCGAGGGGAGTACTGACCGTAGTGACTGTCCAGGCTCTTAAGGTAGTTCTCGCTCCAAAACGTTCGAGACAGGCGCTGGCTAGAAAAGGGAGAGCCACACCGCAAATACTTTTGGCAGCCCACATAATCCCATACGCGAGGCCTTTACGACGGACAAACCATTGGTCAAGATATAGGGTTGTTGGGCTAAAGACCAGACCATTCCCGACGGCGCATAGAACACCCTGAGTGACAATCAAGTGCCACACTGTTATCGAGAATGAGGAAAGGAGAGAGCCAGAAACACTGAGCAACAGGCCAACAGAAGCACAATACTTCTGTAGCTGGGGATAACGGGTGAGAAGGGTGAATGATACAGGGGAAAGAAGATAGAGGATTCCCTAGAAACCCCAATAGCCGTTAGCGTACACTCCGTCCAACTGCTATCGGTCCAGAGATGTCTGCTGGATTTGGGGATAATACGGTTGAAGTTGTTCCCACTACTGCCAGACCCCCTTTGCTCCCTTGAAGGTCACTGTGCGATGAATAATACTCTTGGAAGATCCCATAGACGAGAGAAAAACCTGGCGAGTGGGTGTCAACATCCTATCCGAAACCATCCCAAGAACCGTGGCTGTACCCCAGACTGGTAACTGGATTAAGCAGCACGAGGCTAACATCAACCAAGCGTCCTTTCCTCGATCCGTTGGGGGTAGAGACGGTTGTTCGAGTTCAAAGTCGGAGGCATTATGGGTGTCTTCTCGTAGAGATGGTTGCGGTTGGGTAATGGGCTGCTGAGACTGCATCTTCTTGCATGGGAAATGGTTGCATGGTCTGAAGCGACTGCTGATGGAACAATAGATACTATGATGACTGATATAAGATGTGATTTACCCCGCGCACATGATCATCCCTCACCTCTTCCAAGTACACTCATCGGAAGAGAGATCGGTTGCTAGTATGGCTTCCGCTCTACAGGCATCCATGGGACAGAAGTGAAGTTGAAAGGTATCTTGTTTTTTTTTTTTTTTCTCTTCGCATCATTCGATCGACTCGCTTCCATTACGGCCGTATCCCTGATAGAAGAAACAGGGCCATGTCATCATAGAAGAAGCCTAATATAATGGATAATAAATAAGAATAAAAAAAAAAGAAGAAAAAGAAAATTGGTATAGAAAACAAATGGACACAGCTAATACAGACAATCGTGAAGCAGATGCTGCACATAAGTGACGATTGATCATCGACCTAAACACCATACATACCCTTTGCCGATTCATATCCCAGAGTATATTTCCCAACCTTTCCATCCACACGCCTAATACGCCGTCACAAAACGGGAAAGAAGAAACAGAAAAATGAAATAAGCCCAAAAGGACAACACATATCCACGGCTGAACGCCAATTCCCATCGTGTACAGATTCAAGTAATAAATAAAGATAACAGACTGCCCATTGTCACTATCATCGCCACCAGTAGGAGGCAGCCTGGATGAGGGATTGGTCTGGCATCTCAGGAAAGCGACGATAGCTGGGAAGCCTGGGTCAGCCCAGAGACGTCCTTCATCGGGACATCTGAGGACTTGGCACTTCCACCCTCTCCGACGGCCCGGGCTTGCGCAAGTTCGTTCTTACTAACAGTGGATACCTCGCGGCTCATGTGGGGTTGGGCTGTGGGTGATTTGGGTGGAGGCATCGGAGTGGCTTGGGTTTGGGGCTTTTCGGATGTGGGAGTAGTGAGAGTGCCTCTCCGGATAAGATAGTCCCCTAGGCTAAGCTTCTTCTTCACTGGGCTAGGTGCAGTCACGCTAGACCCGGGAATTGCTGTATCTGAGGTAGATGGTGACGAAATCACAGCCGGTGCACCGGACCCTGGACTGTTGGCAGGAGGTAGTAAAGGAATGGTAGCAGGAAGTGGAACGCGGAGATCAATACGATGATTGTTTACTTTGCCTCCCGGTATTCGAGAGTTATGAGCAGCGGTGGATGGCCACGGTGGTGGCAGTGGAGGTTTGATAGAACTTCGTCCTGACAATGGAGAGGTTTCTTGTTGCCATCCTGGAGAAATACCCATTGGGGACACTGCATCTTTCATTTCCATGTCGTCCCGGTCACCTGACACGCTCGGGGTGGTAACTGTGGGTGGCCCTGCGCGTGGACTTGACACAGGGGACATCAGATGTGTGGCGTGCTTGGACTGCAACGAGGGCGACACAGGAAGTTGTTGATTATTTTGTTCCAGTCGAATACGGTCCGCATAGCATCGCTTCAACAGCCGCTGTGTAAATGGGACGAAACTAGGTCGACGAGATGGAGTATTAGACGGGGAAAGGCTATCACTAACATCGAATTCTGTCTGCGTCGCTGAGTCAACGTACTGAGGACGCCCGAGCCGAGTCCGCAGTGAAGGAATTGCATGATTCGATGCTTTTCGCGGAGAGCCATGGCGTCCTCCAGTTAGAGATCCCGGGGAAATAGCTGATGTCGGCGAGTGAGACTGGCGGTCACGACCACTGAGGTGTGTGAAATAGCCTGCCTGAGCCGACGAACTCCCGATGACCGGTGTCGTCTGCGTAGACTGGCCGCTGGCTCGCTTCTTTCTTCGGTGCGAAGCTTGTTGGTCCTGTTCCAATTGCTGAAATTTCTTTTCTGCTGCAGCAATTTTCCGTTTATCTCTGGCTGAGAGCTCAGATTCGCCGAATACGAGCCCTTCAGTAGGGGTCTGCAATGTAGGTGTGAGGTCGCGACTACGGGTCTGACCTCGTGCAGAGCCTGACGTGGAACGGGTATCTGTTTGATCATCCTCTTCTAGGTTTTTAGTGGCCTCGCTGCCAGCACGGCTATTGGACGCCGGGGGAGAGATGTTCGGTTTACTTTTGGTTTTCTTTCGTTTTAAACTCATTTGCTTCGAGTTGGTATCCAATGCCTTCGGATGTCGACGACGATCCACATTAGCTAGTAAGCAATTGGGTGGGGCGACGCAGGCACAACCGCCAAAGTGAGATAGTACATTGCTGATGCACATAGCCGCCACATCCTGTGCGTTGTCACTGAACTCTTGCTTGACGACACCATTGGTCGATTCAAACAGTTGTGGGTCTAGGTACCACATGGCGGTAATCTCTGAATCGGCCGCTATGTCTTCTTTAGCAACAAAGCAAAAATGATACTCCACTTCATTGGTGATGAAGGTTCTGATAGTGACATTTGGACGACAGGACCGTCGCGCATAGCGGAGTATGTTTCCCTCATGGCGACTATCGATATAGAGAGGCAGTTGAGGGTGGAAGAAAACAAAGGGCTCTGGATGACGAAGCTCTTGCCAGCGGTTACTGGCTTCAACGCAGTATTTCCAGAGTGGTCCGATTTTGCCCGTGATCTCTCCTACAATCTCGTCCTTTCCGACGGAATCTCGTGTCTTGAGGATCTTCCATGTTGGGTGAATCCCATCAATGTCAACGTTCGTGTCTCTGATGGTCTCCGTTGCAAGAGATGGCCAACGTGACCTGTCCAGCGCACCGCCCGACCAGGTAAAAACATCCTGCGCAGAGCGCCCGTTAGAAGCGCGAGCCAGTGCGCCCGGCTCGTTCACCCATGTCGCCAAATGCGTGGCAAGTTCAAGGTTAACAAACAGATTACTATCTGTATTAACATGATGGTTATCATGATCATAGAGATGGAGAAACTCATTCGAATATAGGGGAATAGAAGGGCCTGATGATTTCGTGGGACTCATTGATGTCGTGGTACGTTTACGCGAATCTGGAGGAAAAGATGGCACACCCGCCAAGGAGCTGACAGACCCAGAGGCACGATGGTTGGTTTTGGCTTTCTTCGCGGGAGGTTGGTCGCGGGCGTTGGACTCGGATCGATTGTGGATGCCATTTACTTGTTCGCCATCTTTAGTCTTTTTCTTCTGGCTCTTTGTCCCTGAACGTTTAGCTTTCCGGTCACCGCCATCGCTCTGTTCCCTGAGACGTCTCTGCCGCTCTGTGGCACGCCTGCCGTCCAAAGGGCGGGGCTCACAATCGACGCAATTGTGGACGTCTGGTACGTCCCGGCCATGATAGTAGCACTCGATATGTTGCCACGTCTCGCACCCTTCGCAGAAGACCGTGTTCCCATCGTCATCTTCGAAGGCACAGATGCATTTGATGGTATACGGTTCCTCTTCTTCGGGGGCAGCGGAGTCGGAAACGGCGCCGTTGACGGCAGGCGAATTCAGAGGGACGGTGACCGGATAGGGCTCCGTGGCTGGATGCGTGATGACGACAGGGGAGGTATCTGTCATAATCTGACAGGATACCTCCTCTTAGGTTTAATAGTGAACGCGCAGTGTGTTTCAATTGCAAGAGGCTCACGGATAACCCGTCAAAGCCCAGCACGCATGTCACTTATTGCCAAACCGACAATTGCCTCCTTATATAGCTCGTTATGATCAGCGCTGATACGGCCAAGAAGTTGAATATCCACTGATGAAACCGTCAATCCAGGGGAGCAGGGCCAAGGAAGTTTCGTAATGTTTCACAGGAAAAGTCAGGCGAGTCGAAGTAGATCGTGGGAATCCAGGCTGGTACAATCGCTCAGTACTCGTCAAGATACGTCGCTGGATATGACAACTTTGGTGGAAAGGTGCAAAAGGGGTGAACGGTTATCGAGGTCTTAGTGGAGTCGTCGATCTCGTTGGCGCGTGCGACCGTGAGAGAGTAGAAATGTATCGAGAATCGGAAACCGATGGACGTAAAGAGGCGGTCGGGCCACGAATCGCATGGAGAGGGATGATGGCGATAGGTAGGTGAGATGAGGCCAGAAAATGGTGAGGAGATTCTACCTATGAAGAAGGACGAAGTCAAGGGAGAGAAGGGAAAGGATTAGGTAAACGTGGCAAGAGAACGTAGGAGCAATGAAGGAAGTAAAGGAAAATGGAAATGGGAGGATAGGCGAGGGAAAGACGAACGAAGGAGAGTAGAGGTTCAGAACAAGAGGGAGAGGGAGAAGAAGGAAGAGAGGGAGGGAGAGTCGTGAGAGAGAGAGAGGCTAAAGCCACGGATGGGCCATTCAAGCGGCGCGTCCCAAGACCCAGAGTAAAAGAGGAAAAGCGTGGAATAGTTTTTCCCACCCGCTCTCGCTCGGCGGGAAAGCAGCTGCTGATCCTGGGCGATTAATTTTCTTTATTTTCTCGCCTTGGGCGGAATCCGTAGATAGAAGAAGAACATAATTAATAAGGAAAACGAGAGGGGGGTGTGGGAAGTAGGGAAAGCGATCGGACGAGCGCGAGAGAACCTGCCCGTCCGAAGAACGAATTGCGAGCCAGATCGTAAGGGAGGGGGGGAAGTGCGAAAGGACCAGGAGAACAAAAGGAAAGGTGGCTTTCGAGGTCGGCCGGAAACGAACCCACGCCGACCTTTGGGTCAAATGTAGGACCCGGACTGGAGGGGCGGCCTGAGAAGTCAGGCCTATTCGGCCAACAGTGCTGCCTGGGGAATTGACAGACGGTCGACATTCCCGCCTATCCATTTTCGGCAGGGAGGGTTGCCCTTAGTCCCAGAAGGGAAAGGTAAGTGCCAAGACCCATTTCAGGCATAGTGGGGAAGAACGGATAGCGTGACAAGTATGAAGACCATCAAGGCAGCAAGGCAGACTAACAGGCTGAGAACGTAGTGATCATAACTGTGTGTTGAATCCAAGTTCGGGAATAGAAGAACAAAAACAATGGCGAAGGGTAAATGCAGGAGTCGTAGAGCACAGATTAAGGAAAGGAGATTAAAAGTAATACTTCACCTTTGCAAAGAAAGATTGGGCAAAGACTGCGCCCCTTTTGAGGTCAGTCCTGCCACCACATATCATATATGCGTTACAACGAACATCATGGATCAGCTTGCTAGAAGGGGCAAATATAGAGACGAAAAGGAATAAACAGCTTCGGATCCATGATGCAGGGTTAGTGACAGACATGGTTAGCACCAGAGCAAAGTCAAGTATGAGCAAAATATAAGAGGATCTCGCCAGTTCGATGTTGTAGTAGGCCAGACCAACACTTGCGGCAAATTTAGTAGGTAGTCCCAGCGCTTCTTACAGTAGAGCCACAGGCACGCAGGGGTTGCGGCAAATATAATTTTTGTAAGTTGCAGCGATAGGAAAGAGAAAGGGGGAGAGCGAAAGAAGACAAGTGAAAAAAAAAAGAAAGAAAAAAAGAAAAAAGGAAAAAGGGAAAGAGAGAAAAAAGAAGAAAAAAAAATACCAGACCAAACTTGCAACATTAAGGGAAATGTTCATTCGGACTAGCTTAGCCACACTGGTGTGAAAAGTGAGGGAGCACGGAACTGGATGATGAGGTGTCGCCAGGGTCCCCAATTTATAACGAGATGAGTAGAAAACCTAAAGGACTGGGTCATTCTAAGAAAGATAGTTGGGCTGAAAGTAGTTAGGGGAAAGAAATGACGGTAGAAGGGTAATCTGTGGTTGTGATTAGGAAGACCAAACGCGAGAGTGATAGTCATTTTCGTAGGGGCCGATGGTGGATCACTAGGAGTTTAGTAGCGGTATGGGACGTTGTGAGAAAGAGGGGAACTGGAGGGATTGGGGGCAAGGCGAGTCATCTGGACCATGTGTCGGGATCGCGTAAAGAAAAACATGATCTGATCAGGACACTGTGACAAAATGTCACGCCCAGGGGTTCTCAGAGAAAAGAGAGAGAGAAACAGAGGGGTAGACGGAGCCCTTATAATCAGGTAGAGCTAACTACGGAATTTTGTCAGGAAAAATTGGTTCAACCTAAAGCGGATGAGGATGAAAAGAGCGAAGGGGAAACATTGATCATAACCCGAACAATGCTCGAGAGACGGAGGGAAAAAAATAGTAATGGTCTTCCTTCTCCCTCTAATGGACGGGAGTAAAGTGGCCTTTTTAGCGCCCTGAATTAATCATGTTAGGAGGGCTGCCAACTCTGTCGGTGGCAAAGACGAGGCCCGTGGGGTGCCTCGGTGCCTGGGGAGTCAATTGTCCCCCATCTTGAGGCACCATGAAGAAGCTATAGAGTACTAGATCATTTTAGGGGAACGTCTTCTTGCGAAGTCAAGGAAACTTGTTTGCCGTTAATCTTGTCCTGGCCTTTACTATTAGTATCATTATTATCGCTAATACGGATTCGTTCTTTGTCGAGAGCGAAATCATGCGGTGCCAATTGATACATTACTAAGTAGTAGTACTCCGCTAGTAATTTCAACTTGACCAGGGCTTAGGCCATAGGAATCAATTACCCTAGTGATAACAATAATGTGTATAATAACAATAATCCAATACGTATGGTGGCAAACTCGCCCAAATCCAACCTTACATGGTGTTTTATTACCAGGTCTAGGTGTCCGGGCTTCTAGTTTTAAGCGCGGGAACAAGAACAAATCCAGATTCCCTTGCCACTAACTCCATCCACCCCGGAGTCTTGTGGAGTGCTTCTCAAACATATCGCCACATCTATGTTTTCGGAGCTCCTCGGATTGAAGACGTCGCCGTGTAATGATGGACTTCGTCAGGTGCCCAAAGTAAAATAGAAGAAAAATAGACACGGCAATATACGCAGGAATGGAGTTTCTCGCAATTACCCATGACGGGGCTGCTAGAATTAGGGCGTTGGCCAGGGGCAGAAACGTACAGGCTGCGATACCGAAGTATGCACCATATGGTTGGATACGTGCCTGGTTTGCTGGTGTGAACCCTTGTAGTGCGGTTGTCCGTCGGAATTGGAAATAGATAACACACGAGAACAACCATGAAATATAACCGGACGTGGTGATGAAATACATGAGCAGATTAAAGACGACTGACGCAGACATCGCCAAGGATAGATACGCAAGCCCAGAGAACAGTGCTGATATAACAACAGAGACATAAGGCACACCGTAGTCATTGCGTAACTTGAACAACTCGGGGCCATGTCCAGTCTCAGCCAGGGAGCATAAGGTACGAGACGAGATATAGAGAAACGACCGACCAGAGGCCACAGATGAGAGGAATATGAGAGCAGTTGCAACAGTCGGTAGAATAGGGATTCCAGATCTTCTGATCCCCACAATGTAGGGTGATAATCCAGCACCGATGCCATGGTTCGTCAAAAGAGGCTCATCCGATGGGCTAGCCACAGTGATGGCTAGAGAGCTCAAGATGTAGAGTGCGAAAAGATGGATGCAATCAATTCGAGTCATGTTCAGAATGCTTCGGGCCGACTCTGAATCTACTTGTTCCGCTCGCTGAACGATCAATTCGGGGCTGAAGATAAAGGATATAGTGCTGTATAGGATACATTGCACTAGCCCTAGAAGCCGACCCAAATGACCGTCAGTGAGATATTCGTTCATAGCACCGGGCTCGTGCCAGTATCGAAAGCCCCGCGCAGCAAATTCGGGGTGCCCCCGAACGGCGAGATAACCAGATACAATGATTAGGCCGATGGTTGTGACAAGTTTCAAAGCTGTAAACGCGGCCTCTGATCTTTTGAACGCTTTTTCTGGTAACATGTTGAAGAAGAACACTACGGCAGTGACGATGCTGATCCGTATTGCAAGCCTAGCTCCGGGATTCCAAAGGCCAAGATTGACCATTGCATTGGTGATTTCAAAGGGGACCAACGCAGCTATGGAAAACCAGCGTAGATACCCGAGGGAGAATCCTAAATGGGACGAGGCATAACGATAAGTGTAATTGACCATTATGCCATTTTGGGAGGGTAGGTGAGCCGCGATCTCTGCGACAGCCGTCGATACACAATATACCAATACGGATATGAATATGTAGGAGCCGAGCAATGAGGCTGGACCGCCGGCAGCTAAAGCTTGACCAGAACCGATAAACAACCCGGTTCCAAGAGTAGGACCTATAGCCATCGTGCAAATATAACTAAAATGGTATAAGAAGGGGTTTTGTCACTGAAATGCCCATTGGGTTACAAAGCATTGTCACAGTACAGAAGGATCACATATTTCTTAGGACACACTTTGAATGGTGCTAATGAAATGTGTGCGGTGCAAATGGAACTAAAGGTTGCTACTTCCTCCATCAGCTCCATCGATAGCACCATGGGTTGGGTCTGAATGTCGTTTTTCGCCCAAGGAAGGAACAGTGGCCAGCGGCGTGACAATCGGAGGGAAAGCCCACAACAGAAAGGACAAATAGATAAAGGGCAACTCGATTCAACTTATTATCAATTGTGCGAGACAAACAAAAAAAAAGCCTGTCTACCCAATAATATAAGCCCGGGATGTATGGGTATCACTGTCTAGTAAACACAACAATAGGATGCTAGATCGTATAAAGTCAAGAGTAATCATGTCCCTCTTGAAGAGACCATCGTCTTCACGAATATCGCGAAAAGAAATATAACAAGAAACTGCATCATGTGGGGACAGAAAAGCATTCTCCTGACGAAAGCATGTCCATCAATAAGTCATATCAGTTTCGGCGTATTCCAACCATTCGTCGGATAGGGATTTCTTCCAGAATCGTACAGTACCATCGTCACCAGAGGAAATGAGACAATCACCTATGCGCGTTTAGTATATGTTCATATAGACGCAGGGAGCGCAGCAGGGTATTACTGACCAGAGTACGAAAAGCCCACCTGCCACACGTCTAGATGTTTGCTGTCGATACACGCTACTTCTTTATAAGTATGCTTAAATTGAGCGTCCCCCGTTGCTGAGCGGCTGGCCATAGACATCGGAGCGCGACTCGCAAGGGCAGAACCTATGCCCGATTGCGTTGTTGCACGGATCGAAGATGATTGTGTGGATGGCCGGGATTGCTCGCCGTTCGAACCGTGAGGCTCGTTGTCTGCGGCGGATGTGTAAATCTCGAAAATTCGGATGAAACCGTCCTTGCAACCACTAGCGATAAGATCATAGCCGCGAACAGAGCCATTGGCCCAAGAAATATCTCTCACAAGGCCTCCATGGCTCGACAGCTCAATTGCGTGGTAGAAACGTCGACTGGCATCGGTGCGATATACTTTCACACTGTCCATAGCTGCCACTACTAGTGAGAGGCTTTTACGATCCGAAGATGGCAAAACTGAGTGGGTGATATCTGTGGGATCGTGGTGAAATTGCACCTTAAAACTTGTTTCCTCGCCTCTTTGGGGCGCAGTGCAAACACGAAATTGATCAAGAGGTTGCCAGTCCGCGAGTGTATCTGGACTTACGGGTTCCATGACCATCAGAAATCCATCTCGTGTGATGACAGCAAGCCACGACTCGAGGTCAATATTGCGGAAGTCAATTGAGACGAATGGATGCCGGTGTGGTGCCGTCATGCGAAATATAGACCGGAAGCGTCGGCCAGAGTTAAGAGGTTGGGTGACATCTTCTTGCCATATCTTGCATTTCATGTCTTCACCAACACTACCTATATGTTGGCCCGTAAACGGACCATTCCAGCTTGCCTAGGAAACCAGTTAGTGTGCATTTAACACAATACGAACTACAGAGTGAATTCAATACGAGGGAGCGTGGTCTTGCTTACATCGCGGATCTCAGCATCATGTGCACGCCAGGTGTCAATTAATTGCCATTCACCGTCTTTCTGATCCCATACTTTCATACGATGATCGGAAGAGGCCGTAACAATGCGATTACCATAAAAATTGAATTTGGTGACAGTTACCAAGTCACGATGACCAGCGTCGAAATCAGCGAATCCAGACATCTCGGGCCAGGTTCAAGATCACCAATCAGAACTTCAGCGCCGGCCACCGCACTGATGGCAATATACGCGCGAAATTAAAAGCCGATGGTTGCGTATGTGCCAAAAGAATGACGACGCTTTCACCCATGTATGGGACCAGATAAGCCGTGCATGTGAAGCAGCAAGCGGGTCAATAATGGAGCATTACGTAAGCCACACGACACTCCAACTAGTTATCTTGTTCAGGCAAAGTTTCGGGTGATGTTTGACAGCTTCTGACCTACCGCCCGAGATAAGCGGTCAAATTTATCTGGCAGAACGATGCTCATTATACCTTGAAGCCAGATTGCTTCCATTGATCTTCTGTACAGGATCTACAAGTGGTTCTCTCTATTGATCTTTAGACACTGTCTCGGTAGAGAGGAAGGCTTACACGACTAGGGGAGCAATGCTGCAATTCTGTCATTCATGATGAATTCGAGCTCTCTTTCTCGCCAGGAGACCTGGCGTCTCTTGATGCTAGTGGGCATCTGCGCCAGCATCCTTCTCAACACTTTGCAGGATGAAGGTGCGCCTTTGGTAGCATCCATTGCTTTTAGTGGAATTGTTTTTGCAGTCGCGTACAGCCTGATCAGATGGCTGGGACCGGTTTTCATGAAGGCAGGGTTGAAGGGGAGAGATATGGCGAAACCAAAGAGACCTGAAATGTATGTATTAACTTGGCAATTGTTGCTGTAATGAACTGCAAAGCGCAATCACTAGATGATTCTGGAACTAACTGTTTCCTGTGCTAGCCCAGAGACAATGGGCGCAGTATGCGCAGTTGTGTATCTTCTGGCGCTTATCTTCTTTATTCCCTTTGCTTTCTACAAAGACATTGTGGCAGCCACTTCAGGTGGAGGTAACCGAGATGTCGTTCTTGAAGTTCATCACGTTGAAACTGGTCGGATGCTCCACCGATTTCCTCACGGAAGGGTCTGTGATTCTCCAACTACTTGCTTTTTTAAGAGAGTTTATTGACAAAGCCTGTAGCTTGCATCTTACCTCTCTGGACTCCTTTCCCTGCAATGTATTGTCATACTGGGATTGGGTGATGACCTTCTTGACATTCGATGGAGACACAAAGTTCTCATACCTGCTTTCGGAGCAATTCCAATGCTTATAGTTTACTTTGTGGACTTTGGTGTCACACAGGTTGTCGTTCCGGTTCCCTTGCAGCCCTACTTAGGCTCATTTGTCGACCTCGGATGGCTATATTACGTATACATGGCTGCGGTGGCTATTTTCTGCCCCAACTCCATCAACATGTTGGCAGGGATTAATGGAGTTGAGGTAGCTCAATCTCTGGTGATCGCAATCTTGCTCATAGCAAATGATGCGCTGTATCTTGTGCCCATCACGCCGTATCCCCACCCCGCCACTGATTCACATCTCTTCTCCCTTTATTTCTTACTTCCATTTGTTGGAGTGTCGCTGGCCCTGTTGTTGCACAACTGGTACCCTTCCAAAGTGTTTGTCGGGGATACCTACTGCTATTTCGCGGGGATGGTATTCGCCGTCGTTGGTATTCTGGGGCATTTCAGTAAGACTTTACTTCTGCTTTTTATACCGCAGATATTCAATTTCATGTACTCGACCCCGCAGCTTTTCAAGTTGATTCCTTGTCCTCGGCACAGATTACCTAAGTTCAATGCTTTAACCGGACAGCTTGACGCTTCTGTAACAGAGTGGACAGTACCACCGTCGCCACTAATCGCCGCTGGCCTGGAGCTTCTTCATCAGCTGCGATTGGTGCGTGTTACAAAGAATGACCATGGTCAAATTGTGGAGTCGACTAACTTGACGATACTCAACCTGTGGCTGGTGTGGATGGGGCCAATGAAAGAGAACCGGCTGGCATGGAATATGGTCGCGGTTCAAGTCGTTTGTGGACTGTTCGGTCTATTTGTGCGACATCGCCTGGCACTGCTCGTATTTCGGGAAGATAACCGAGCATTTTGGCCTCAGTTATAGATTTAAAGATCAATAGAAACTAATCAAAAATGGTTTTGTTCGATATACAGGTGTTATACTAGAATTTTGTCAGAAGCCCTGCACGTAGACCAATTAGGAATGGCATATGCATGCTTTCAGGAAACCAATGTAAAGTCGTAGGCGGAACAAGACTTCTGCTATAGACTTGGAACAAAGCAAAAGCCCGAACCATTAATATAGAATAGAACCGAGAGTAGACCTATTACCAATCGTCAATGAATCTAAAGGTAAGGCCCTTAACGAGATGTCCGTTATCCTTCATAAGAAATTCACACCTCACGACTTCATGCCGGTCAGTCTCATAGTAGTAACAGAGTTGTTCCTCCCCCTCAGAGCAGACTTTGCATGCCTAGTATCTATCTTACTATGGATGAGGAGGGGCCGCCTATAAGAGCTTTATGTTTCCTCCCCTCTTACTTCTATTACCCATGATCCTGATCGGTTAGAGAACCGGTAGTTCGGAGCGAGAGATCATTTGTATAAGGACTACAGGATCGGTAAATATCTTATAGAAGAAATAATAAACAGAGTACTAATTTAAATAGAAAGTAATATACTATCTGTACTATAAAGTTCAACATTTGGGAAGCGTGGGATTAAAATCGGAGTCAAGGTATAGAATTATACAGTAGTTAGAGGGGCTATTATGCCATATCAGCTCAAACAAAAATGAGTGTAAACTTAGGCAACAGTGAGAAATTTGTCAAGCTTGTAGTATCCTTAGGAAAAAGGTAGAAGACAGCCTTACTGAGTCCGCCATCATCGCCCTTTTTTCTATTCTTAATATATATATATATATATATTTTTTTTTAAAAAAAAAGCGGTGATTCCGATAATCCCACAGTCTCTTGTGTTTTTGATTGAGTAAGTAGTGATCTACTAAGCTTGACAAGGTAAGTTGCTGTGTAGTCATGCTTCTGTGCCTTAAGTTGAATGGTTGATCTGTCACTGACTGCCTATCAGGCCAGTTTCGAGAGTGTGGTTCTCGCTCTTAGCCATGATGGCTGTATACTCAAATTCAGCAAAATGATCCATTTTAGAGTGTAAGGTCACTAGGAAACGCCACGGTGCTCTTGAATGTAGTAAAGATCAGTGCTCAACGATGCAATGTAGAGGATCATGTTGAAAATAGGAAGGGTTTGGAGATATTAACATCTGCGTAAGTGTGATAACTACATGGATCATGATACGGACAGTCACGGATGACGATGTAATCGCGACCTGAGCATAAAAGGTCTATTACTGTCACATGGCGCTCATCATAGGTATAATAAAGACAGGAGGAAATAACAAGGGAAGCAAAAGAAGAGAGAACTGTAGCTGCAATACAAAAGAAAATAGATTAAGGAGAGATGGCTATTCTTCCAGACTTGGGGATGCACCAGGCAGTTGCCCCTGGTATCCATAATTAGCCATCTAATTTCTCCTCGCCGCTTGAGTTAGGTAAGTTCAATGTTTCTAGAGAATCCATTTCACCATTCTCCACATCCCATTGAGGTCTTGGGTGAGAAAGTTTCCCTCTAGAATACCATGTTAGTGACCCCCTGCTGTCCTGTGAGTAATATATCGTACCGATTTGATGCCTGACTGCCAATTGAGATCCAAGTACTACTAGATTGTGTATTCAGCTATTTCCGAAGAATCCGGCTTCCATGGTAATAGAGCTGGAACAAATCGCTCGGTATTGCGACAAAGTTTTTGTAACTCCGAGTTTACTAATGTCTAAAACATGACGCACAACGGTCTACGGTCATCTTATGCCCGGAGATAAACGGGCCATTTTTAGGGAACACTATTCAGCCCCACCGGTCCCCGGAGTTAAGGTACACTTAGTCCACACTAACTTACCTCCTGATTATTCAACCTGTCATCCATCCGCATTAGCATTTCTTCACCTCATGGAAAGTTCTACTCAAACACCTGCTTGATTGCGGTTATGATGTAGCTTTATGCTCAACTCCGTCGGCTCATCTGCCGCGTGGGCCCAACATGGAAAGTTATAAATACCGGCCACAGCCAGCGCTGAGGTGTATGGTTCTTGGGTACACTACTGAATACCAATTCCTCATTCAAAGCCTTGTTCTGTACAGTTTAACAGTATATATTCTTCAACATGTCCGAGATCTTCGCGCCTGCCCCAGAGCCCTCCTCTGAGCTGGGTCGCTACCGCATCCTCTCCTCGACCGCGGGCATCCGCGTGTCGCCACTGCAACTGGGTGCTATGTCTATTGGGGATTCATGGTCTCACTTTATGGGTTCCATGGACAAAGAGTCTTCATTCAAATTGCTTGATGCTTTTGTCGAAGCCGGAGGGAATTTTATCGACACTGCCAACAACTACCAAAACGAGCAATCGGAGGCCTGGTTAGGCGAATGGATGACTTCCCGGAAAAATCGTGATCAACTTGTCATTGCGACCAAGTTTACTACGGATTACAAGTCATATGCCCTTGGAAAGGGGACCGCACCGAACCACTGCGGTAACCATCGCCGCAGTCTCCATATGAGCGTGCGCGACTCCCTGCGTAAGCTCCAAACAGACTGGATCGATATTCTGTACCTTCACTGGTGGGATCATACCACCTCTATCGAGGAAATCATGGACAGCCTTCACATTTTGGTGGAACAGGGCAAAGTGCTCTACCTAGGAATCTCGGATTCCCCTGCGTGGGTTGTGAGTGCCGCCAACACCTACGCTCGGGCTCATGGTAAGACCCCCTTCAGTGTCTACCAGGGCCGGTGGAATGTGATGCTTCGTGATTTCGAACGTGAGATTATCCCTATGGCACGCCATTTTGGGATGGCCCTGGCACCTTGGGATGTCCTCGGCAGTGGCAAGTTCCAGACCAAGAAGGCATTGGAGGAGCGGAAGAAAAACAATGAAGGATTGCGAAGCTTTACCGGCGCAGGTGAGCAGACCGAGGAGGAAATTAAAATGAGTGAAGCACTGGCAAAGGTTGCATCAGAACATGGCATTGAGTCTGTAA